CTACAGACAGCCTCCTGGTACAGAGTTGATGGAGCAGAAAATGCGGCCAGGCCAGGGCCACATGGGACAACGACCATCAAGCTACACATATTGCACCAAGGTAAGTGCTTTTCTTTTCACACCTCAATTTAACTTTTTATTCTAAGCAAAAAATAAAACTTTGTGGAAAGCACACACACACACACACACAAAAGAAATTGCAGCAATTGGGTTAAAGATAAAATAACCTAAAGTGCTTTTTATTTTATTATTTCTTTAATATACCAATATGAGGTTCTGCAAACTCGTCCCTCTGGACACATTCAGCATTATACAAAGTCTCTCAGGAAACCCACCCACCCTCCATTAGCCCCATCAGTCCACTGCCTTGACACTCTCCAAGCTACTGACTCTCCCAGAGGTGGTAAACAGAAGTCCCTTGCTTCTACCCAGAGAGGTCTTCACACATGAAGGCCCCTCCCAGGCTTTGTACCAAGATCTCCTTCTAAAAGGATAGGGGGGCAGGGGATTCAATAAATGACACTAACTCCTGCCACCAAACTGGTGATGTCCCCAGGAGGCTGACCAGACCCGACAGGCAAGGCAGGGCCACTTTCCCTCAATGCCTGGGAAGGGCCAGATTCACTAAGGCAGTTTGGTGGTGCCAGCCAAAGTTTCCTCCCACCTCCTGAGCCCATGTACTATAATTCCTGATGCTGACTAGCACCCTGTATCCAAGCAGTATAACTAGAGATGCTAGCAGGAACTGGAAGTATAAATCTACAGGGTGGAAATGGTTAAGGTTACCATGGGAAGAAAAAGGCTTGATTTCACCTGGTAGAAGCCTGCAGACCTTCTCTAACCTTTCCCTCGGTTCACTCCAGGTTTGGGAAACCACTCTCTCCATGAAGGCTCTGTCTGGATCCACTTTAGCCAGCGACCCACTCTTCTCCAAGGTTTACAGAGGAGGGGGGGGAGGGAGAGCGCTGGAGGAGGAAGGAAAGACTGCCTATCCTGTGGAATCAACCTGCTCTTCTAGCAACCACTCACTGACATTTTAAGCATGCTCATGATTTTTCAAAAGCTGATTGGGTTCGATAGTTGCCCTTGTAATCTCGAATCATCCTCAAAAGGCAGTTACCGCAACTAGAAAAATCTGTCGACCCAAACACTATTTTAAGATGCTTCTTCATCACCCCCAATCTTTGGAGAGCAGAAAAGCCACTGACCTGGGTAGGCTCAACAAGTTAGCACAGGCCTGGCTACCAGAAAGAAGCAACATTTAAACCATGGACACTTCTAGCGACTTTTCCTGGGCTCCTGTTTCCTACCTGCTCCCAGGGAACTGAGTCCCAGGTGACTCCAGGGATGTGGGAAGAGGTCATTCCTGCCCTCCGACGCCAATTACCTTTGGGATCGTATTGTGCTGGTCGCTCGCAGAAGAGGTAGAGAAAACACACGTGTCCTACCTCAAAGCTTCCTATGCTGCCTGGTCCACAGAGCCAAGGACAAGCCATGCTCAGCAGCTGGTTTTCCAGGACCCACTCACTGTGGTACTAGAAGATTCCTCCTGACTTGGCGACTTCTGCTGAGGTCAGTGGTTCCAGAACCCACCAGCCTCTTGGGGAGGAGAGTGCAGAAGGTTAAAGGAAACCCATTCTCCTGTCTAGACTCCTAGAATGAGAAGCCAGCAGCTGCTTGTGGCTAAGCCCACCTCTTATTGCAGTGACGACGTTCACCACCACTGCCCTGTTGTCCAAGTCTGTCCCTGAACATCCGGTTAAAGGCTCGGCTTCTGGCTCCCAAAACGATCTGCTCTGGACACTGTCTTGGCCGGCCGTGAGTGCGGCTCAGAGACAGGAGAGTGGCAAATGCAGCTCTTTTTACATTAGGGAGTGGGAAAAGGAAGGCAAGATTATGGCTACTTTCTGCCTGACGACATTGACCCAGAAGAGCAGCCCTGTTTGCTCAAGGCAGGGAAGAGGCCTAGTCTATAGACGCGGGGCTGTGCCCAGCTTCTGAGCTCAGTGAGCTTGGTGAGTGCTTATGACTACATTGACATAGCCAGTTGAGAGAAACTTTCCATTTTAGTGTGGGCTGTATTTTATGTTTTATGTTTAGAGGCATGACTTGGAGCCAAAGGCAGATAGATGGTTGTAATTCTATACACAAATCAAAAAACAATTCTTCTTTCCTATAATACAACTTAATGAAACATTCCAAATGCGATAACTTATTGCAACATTTCAGGCTTTTTGGTGGAAGGGGAATTTTTTTGTTGGTTTTACCCTGAGTAGAAGATCATCGTTTTGTGTTTTTTGTTTATTTTTTGTTTTTGTTTAGAAATCAAGTGACTAAGCTGAGCAAGTCACATCCTTCTGTGCACTGTACTAGGCTGTATGCAAAATCCAGAGGGGTGAGAGGTGAGACGGGAGGGGCAACCAAAAGCCTGGCTAGAACCTGGAACCAGGATACCTGGCCTGCCAATTACATGCCACCTTAAGAAACCTCCCTCAGCGATACACCTTCTGATAAGCAAAATGCAGCTCTTCTGCTCCGAGGAAGAGAAATACCGGTAAAGGAAGGCAGAGCACCGACCAGCAACTGGCCATACACCCACATGTCCACTCTAGGACAAAACAGGGATGTTCCCCCCAAAAATTCGCTGTGATCTGCAAACCCTGGCAACCAACTGAGAGACAGAACCAGGAAGGCAAAGACTGTGATCACGTTGCTAGAGCCTGCTCTGCACACACGCCATTGGCAGATAGTAAACAGCGCGCGCGCAGGGCCCGCAGAACCAGATCCTCCCTACGGCTTCGGGCCAGGCTGCTAGCTGCCCTTCTGTGCTGCAGCTGGACGCAGACACCTGCCACAGTCACTCCGAGCTCCGCTGACACAAGTGCAAACAGCAAAACCATCTCACCCAATTTCTGTCCGGCTCACAGCTGTCTGACCTGCCTTTGCCACTTCCCTCTCTGATGGAGTGAGGGTCTGCCCTTTGGAGCAAGCTTCAGCCTCAGGCTCAAAAGACGCACAGGGAGGAGCAACACCTGACACACTGAATTCCACTGTCCAGACCACAAGGCCCCAGTGCAAGTGATGGGCAACATCAGATCGATGGAAACACACCCTTTCACTTGGAATTTTTATGCATACGGGTAACCTTAATTTCCAAGTTCACATGACAATAAGCAAAAGTGACATACAGTGCAGCCAAACAGTTCATTTATAACTTAGCTTTTTTTTTTGTTTTGTTGTTTTTTTTTTCTCCCAAAGATCAGTTCCTTAAAATGGATGCTCCTGGGATATGAATAAAGAAAATATATCCGAAATGTGAGGATTTCAAATAGATTTCTTCATCCTTCAAATTACCAATCCCATGATGGTAGACATCACACCTGTGTGTGCTTCCTGCTCGCCCTCTCTTCCCGGAGGGGAGCACAGGTGGCCTTTCACTTGGAGAAGCTGCTGGTCAGGCCCAGCTCCTCCTCCCCCTGCAGTAGTGCTTCAATGGGAATCAGGTTGGACGGCGTGTCCAGGTTCGGGAGGGACAGAAACTCTGACACATCCATGGCACTTAACGTTTCTGTCTGAGGGTCTGGAGGAGTCCCTGCTTGTCTGCTTTGCTCACAGGAAGAGGGGATGGCGGAGGAGGATGACAGGGGGACAGAGGGTGAGGAGAAAGTCTGTGGTGGTAGCTTCCGGCTGGGCCCCTCAGGAGGCTGGGGGCTTGGCTCTGGAGGGGGTGGGGAGGAACAGCCCTTTCTCCTGCCAGCCGCCCGCTCCTTAGCAGAGTCCCGGCATGCGCACTGACACTGACACGCCTCTTCTTGCTTGATGATGATCACAGGAACACTGAGGCCAATCTGCTGTACAGAGCTCCCTGTGAGAGAGGCGAGAGAGACTGCTCTTCAAGTGGCTGCAGGCACAGGGGGATCTACACTAGGTGAGGGCTGAGTGCCATGGAGGCGGGAATGGTGATGGAGAGGGTGGATGCCACACACACCATCGAGATGTGCCCCGTATTTCCAGCCTTGTTTCCAGCCATCCTCTCCCCTGCACCCTCCATGCCAGCCAGGGAGGTGGATGCCTCCCTTTTCCTGACTGTTTTATTTTTGTTTGTTTTTTACCTCTGAGCCTATGGGTGCTTTCCGTGGCCTAAACTCCCAGGCTGTTCTTCCGGAGAACTTACTCTTCTTATCTCTGAAGGCCCAGCTCACTCCCCTCTCCCCTCTGAGGCCTCCAGGCAGTGTTTCCAGCAGGCTTACACCTAGGGCTGGCCCAAGGCAGGTGCCAGCACTGTGCAGAGCTCCTGGATTCCTCCCACATCTAGCATCTTTGTCCCTTTGTCCACACTGTATGGGACTGTTCACTCCGCCTACCCAAGGCTCCTTCAGGACATTTCACTCATCTTTGTAGCCGTCTCTGACATACGGTGGGTGTCCGTAAAACCTCCTTCTACACAGCCAGCCTAGTGTGCACACGCTCTGAACTCAGATGGGCTGTGTGTGTCTCAAGAGCTCTAGAGACCAAGGGGCAGGAGAGCAGAGTGGGAGCCAGGAGGCCTGAGAGCTCGTGCTCTGGCTCTGCCACAAACTCATTTGTGACTCTGGGGGAGTCATTTAATATTTCAGGGCCTCAGTTTCTTAATCCATAACATAGAGTTTGAAAAAAAGGACCTTTTAGTTCTATACAGTCTCTGACCCAGATGCTATTTCTTCATTACTGTAATTAGGAAAGAGTCCAGTGAATTAACAACTGCCCTCTTTAGCATTAATTGTGATTCAAACTTTTTTTTTTTTTTGCTACATTTAAAAGCTGTATCTGAAAGGGAAAGAACTGTTACTAGTTTTAAAATGTTAAAAGTGGCATTAATGCCGTAAGTGCACTAACCTCCAATAGTTATAAGAATATGAGATACTCTAATAAACAAACAATACAATGTGACAATTTTGATTTCAAAGTTTTAAAAATTGGGTAAAGCAACAGACTGTGCCTCAAGGGGCCCAGGGAGTTGAGTATCTTTTAAAGCTCACATAGAATTACATACCTGTGCTACTGGCTACTGGTACCGCAGTAGTAAAAAACACCTTCTCAACTTTAGATGCTTGCTGCTGGAAGAAAAAAAGTCACATTTATGGCACTCGAATACGGCAGAGCTCCAAGGAGCTGAAGCCTCCCCGATGGTCATCCAAGAGGGAGAGAACGCTCAGTGCAGAGGGATTTGCACTGAGAGATGTTTTGTTTGTGCTCTGGCATGAGGTCACCCCACTGTTCGACAGTTCAGTGTGGACAATGTAGCCAGCTTTGTCCTCCAGGCTACCTCCCAGCTGCCTAATTCAGTGGTTCCATGTGCCCAAAGGCTCCTCCAAGGTTGCTGTTCTCCAGAGGATGATCTCAGAGGGAGCCCCAGGGCTGGCTTCCCCTCTGAGCTCTCCACTCTCTGCCATCCCCCAACACTTCTAAGAGGCTGGGAAGTTCTTTTCCCTCCAGGATTAAGATGCATGCAGAACAGCCCGGTGAAGGCCCTGAGCACAGGGCAGCTGCTCACGGGTGGGCCCTGAACTCTGCCATGCCCGATTCCAGCCCTAACTGCTGCTTAGTAGTTGTTAAGGTCAGGCAAGTGAGTCAACCTCTGACAATCAGTTCCCCATCCGTGACAATGGGGATGATATCCAAAGAACCCCAGTGAGGGTGTAATGAGAGGATGCATGTAGAGTCCCAGGCACGTGGCGAGCACTCGGAAAACATTAGCTACTTACGTTACTACTACGTAGGATTATAAAGTCGTGCCCAGAAATCACCCTAATCACTTTAGTACACTTCCTATTAAACTATCTTCAAGTCTTAACTTCAAAGGGCTGTCTTTTTTTTTTATTATTGTTTAAAGTTTTACATATTTCTCCTTTTTCCCCCCATTGACCCCCATCCTCCCCCCGCCTCACTCCCACCCCGAGGGCAAGCCCCCACTGCCCCAGTGTCTGTGTTCATTGGTTATGCTAATATGCATACATACAAGTCCTTCCGTTGATCTCTAACCCCCACCCCCTGCCATTTGTCTCTGGATCTAGGGCTTTGTCTTTTATCCCTCTAAGGCAGTGGTTCTCAACCTTCCTAATGCCGCGACCCTTTAATACAGTTCCTCATGTTGTGGTGACCCCCAATTTCATCGTTACAAATTGAACATAATTAAAGCATAGTGATTAATCACAAAAACAATATGTAATTATGTATGCGTTTTCCAATGGTCTTAGGCGACCCCTGTGAAAGGGTCGTTCGACCCCCAAAAGGGTCGCGACCCACAGGTTGAGAACCGCTGCTCTAAGGAAATAAAGAAAATCTAGGAGGACTGTGAAAGCTTCTGGCTAAGTTATAGGTGACACTGTAAAATAATGATGGAAAAATAAGACCCATATTTAAATACATGAAAATGAGTTGTGTGGAAAAGGAATGACAACACTTGTCCCACGCAGCTCCCCTAGGCAGATTCAGAAAGAAATGATAAAAACCACATGGAAGCAGATTGGGTCGTAATATTGAAAAGACCTTTCCATTGGAAAATGGAACTAGGTTGCCTCTAGAAGTGGCTGGCACCCCGTTTATGGAATTTGAATGCTCACTATTTAGCCCTAAATAGTTTGTTTGAGATATTTAATTGAACAATGAAGTCATTTCCTTATCATCGAGACCAAACACTTAGCAGAAAATAGCTCTAAGTGGGCTCTGGAGCAGAGATTTCTCTCACGTGCACCTGATGGGGTGGTATCAGTCCCTCCCCTCAGTGTGACTGCCCTGGAGACAGAAGGCGCTTCCTGAAC